TAAGTGTTCCTCTACAGATCCAGGTAAGAGTTCCTCTACAGATCCATTTAAGTGTTCCTCTACAGATCCGGGTAAGAGTTCCTCTACAGATCCAGGTAAGAGTTCCTCTACAGATCCAGGTAAGAGTTCCTCTACAGATCCAGAGAAGGGTTCCTCCACAGATCCATTTAAGTGTTCCTCTACAGATCCGGGTAAGAGTTCCTCTACAGATCCAGGTAAGAGTTCCTCTACAGATCCAGGTAAGAGTTCCTCTACAGATCCAGAGAAGAGTTCCTCTACAGGTCCAGGTAAGAGTTCCTCTACAGATCCAGGTAAGAGTTCCTCTACAGATCCATTTAAGTGTTCCTCTACAGATCCATTTAAGTGTTCCTCTACAGATCCAGGTAAGAGTTCCTCTACAGATCCAGGTAAGAGTTCCTCTACAGATCCAGGTAAGAGTTCCTATACAGATCCAGGTAAGAGTTCCTCTACAGATCCAGGAAAGAGTTCCTCTACAGATCCAGGTAAGAGTTCCTATACAGATTCAGGTAAGAGTTCCTATACAGATCCAGGTAAGAGTTCCTATACAGATCCAGGTAATAGTTCTTCTACAGATCCAGGTANGAGCAGTACAGCGAGAGGGTTTACACCATCAGGGAGGGGGAGACCCTGGAGCTGCAGTGTCTGGTGACCGGACACCCCCGGCCCCAGGTAACAGCTCCACAGGTGCACTGGCTTTACTACAGCAGGACCACGTGACGTTGCAACATCAGGGTTTGGTTCTACAGGTGCAGAACGAACCGTCTGAAGACAAAAATATCAAATTAAATGAAAAAACATGAGAGACTAGATACAGCTCAGGAGGAGTCGAAACAAAAAAAAAGAAACAAGCTTTTTGTGTGAAAATACAGCTTGGGTGTTGAAGAAGCTGAAACTGAGCTGCTCAAGTTAAAATCAGAACACTAGCTGAGAGCTAAAAGTAGCAAAATGCTAACAAAATGTAGCAAAAATGTTATAGAATCGTTGAGAAAGACTAAAAAATCAAGACTGACTGTAAGTTAAAAGGATCAAAGT